GTGCTGCAGCTCCATTTCATGGCCTTGGCAATAGTCTTAAAGAAATATTAGTTAATATAAATATAATTCTAGGTACACTGAACTTCCAACTGACTTTAGCAATAACAGCTTGTTTTCTAAAAATTACTTATTTCATCAAAACTTTGTCATCAAAATAGTCCCAGTTAAATGTACTTTATTATTCAATAGAATTAACATTTATGTTGCCACTTAATCAATTTCCCACTCCATGCATCTAAGTATAATTTCTATATATGTGTTTGTAACAGGAGAGACATTCCTAGTAGATGCAGGTCTTCCAGGGTCCATGGAACAACGTCTGGGACCTACAGATTCTCCTAACAGCCCCAGCCCTGTTAGACTCTCCAGAGACTATCGCTCTCCAGTGTACAGGAGCACTAACCAAACCTGGAACACATCCCAAGGAACCATGCGTAGACTGAGCTCAGGTGGTGAGTGGCAAACAAAGGGCCTGCATGACCCTTTTTTGGCAGGGCTGACAAAATACAAGACAGTTAAAAAGACACTAAAGTTGTCAGTCATTTTATTATTAGTTAGGAAACCGCACATTTAACTACCATCATAAGGTGATAGACAATAACTGAGGCAGAGATGTAGCCGTTTATAATAGTTTTTCCATGGCACAATTATAATGTTTAGAGATTGTACATAGCTATAGCATGGCTACTGACAGAATAAAATAAAACTCTGTTATTTAGAGCCTTCTCCACAGTGCTGTGTGAAGGTTCTAAATAAAACATTTTAGAAAATTGAGGCGTGCTGGAATACCTTTTCTTCACATCGTGGGTCCTGGATTTCTTTATCATTCACTATAGGTAGAGGATATTAGTGTGTGTTCAGCCATTTGGTGAGATTGTCAATGTGCCACTGGAACCAAAGCTGAAGTAGTTGATTATGGTTTAAAATTTGATTGTGAACAATGCCTAAAAATGAATAGGTGCAAAAATAAAAAATAGTTTTACTGCACTACACATTACATAACACTGACTGTATCTTACAAAAAGTAACAGTAGCAAAATAGAAAGCAATACTTTTTTTTTGTATAAAGCGCATATTGGCATATTACCACTAAATTTGTAATAAGTGCTAGAAACTGTTTGATACATCTCCACATTTTGACCTTTATGTCACAGAATATCACAGTAGCACAGACATACGTGACATAGGGTATGCAGGGTGACATAGCGATAGAGACCTGTCAGTAATCATAGTGATTTAAATTATCACAACCTTGTCTATCATTTCTCTTCTGCCGCAATGCTCAGAAACAGAGAGATTCCAGACTGGTCGAACAGGGTCTCGTGACCCGTCGTCTTGGAATATGGAGGACGTCATGCAATTTGTCAGAGACGCTGACCCACAGTTGGGATCCCATGCTGACCTCTTCCGTAAACATGTGAGTGCTAGCTGCAGATAACAAATTTTTCCTAATTCAAAAAAATCTTCCATGTCAATCAGTCTTTTTTTTTTTTAGTTTACAGACATAATCAGAATTAAGTCTAATCTTTCAAACAAAACAGAATTCCATAATTAATGTTTGAGCTACATCATGTCATCGTTCCTAATGTGTTTGATCTCTGTAACTCACATTCCATTTCTTTCAAATGGCATTAGCAGACCTTTTAGAAACTGAGCCTTCAAGATGTGTTTTTATCCTTTTACACTACTGTAAATGTTTCTTGCATTACTTAATTTAAGTGATACCTCTCTGCTATTAATGTTTCTGGAGTGCAGACATAAAGACCACAGTAACTGTATAGTAAATTGAGTTGACAATAAAATTTATAAAGCTGTGAATAATTGCAAACTGTAGGCAGCAACAGCTAATTTAGTAAATATCTTTAATTCAGCCATAGTCACAGCTTGCCTAAATTGTGCAATACTGTTTTCATTTCACTCTAACTCACAGTTAAATGTGTAAACTCTACACACATACAGGCATGAATTCAAACATTTGCTTTCTCATTATACACACACACTCATTAAAGAGCACCAAGCTACATAAAGGTTAAATGTGGGATAAATTTTTCCTGGAATTAGGCCTAGCACCTAGGGACGGGTTTTTATAGTTTTAGTGCAAATTCTGTTTTGTTGATTTTCGATCTATTCTAAATTACCATGAAGCCAATTTTTCCTTGTTTCATCTTCTCCTTAGGAAATTGATGGCAAGGCCTTGCTCCTCTTGCGAAGTGATGTCATGATGAAATACATGGGTCTTAAGCTGGGGCCTGCCCTAAAGTTATCCCACCACATAGACAAACTGAAGCAAGGGAAGTTCTGACCACAATTTTTGGTCATATTTTGCATCCTCTAAATGTTCATGTCTAGGACTCTGCTGTCTCAACATCTTTTTGGATCCTTTGAGGAATGGGACTTATAAAGCCCTAAACACCCCTTTTTTGTTGGGGTTGTAATAGGTTGATGACACCTAGAACTACATCTTCTGAATTAGGAGATATTCCTCAATTCGTTTGAACTTGTCCTAAATATTTCACACTAGCGGGAGGAGGGGAAACAAAGGTATTACACTTTTGGATGGGATGTAGATTATCTTTCACCCTGATGTTCGCCAAATTATTCAAGACAATACCTTTTCTTATCTTATCTAGCACTTGCAGTGCACACAGCGCTGTACATAGTAGAATAAAATAGGCACAATGAATTATTGTCCACAGAAGATTGCAATCTAATGCTTTGACTTGTCTGCTGGTGACCTCCCACTACATAGGCAGTGACTCCTAAACTTTCTGCCTGCAGTTGAATTTAATCTAAATGATCTCCCATTATGTAATAATAAACCCAGCTATGCTGCCCAGGTTCTGGTTTTTAAATAGCTATCTTACTTTGCCGAGATCTGATGGGAAATTGGGTGAATTGTTTCTTAAATAATTCTGTGAAGTTAGCAGAATTGTAGAAAACCCAACAATTTCCGTTCAATTTTTAGATAACTAAAGTATTATCCATTGTTTGGTTGGTTTCGGTGTCTAAAATTGTAATAGTTTATAAAATTATTTTTTATTTCTCTATTTAATTGGTTCTACATCTTCCAACTACTTTCCTAATGTTTCCATATAGTCACTCACTATATCAACTGACTATCCATAAATCTCTTTCTATCCCTTATTTAAGAATTTTCTTATACATTATCCTATATTTCCATATAATCTGTGCATATAACTACTCCAATTTCTCCATATAATCTATTCCTATAATGCTTCCTATCCAGGGCCATCATATGAGATTTTGAAGGCCAGTACAAAACAAACTAAAGTCTTGCTCTGTTTAACCTCTACTCTTTTAATTTTACATTTTCAAGAATTTTCTCATCTCCTTGTCCTAGGCAGCCCTATTAATATTTTCATGTACCCCCTCTATCCTATCTTTTTCTGTCTTTTCCCCACTATCTCTCTCTTTGTCACTTTTTAAAATCCTAGTTTTAAGACCTAGTTCTTTTTTTCCATACAATTTTATACAATTGTAATTTTTCCAATATTTCTGCTTTTATTTTTTTACATCTCACATCCACGTCTTGTTGGTTTCTCTCCTCTGCTATGGTCTAATTTCCCATTTGAATGATTATAGTGCAATATGTACACCCATTAAACACTTTCTATCCATTTAACTATTGTTGCACTCAGGAAATCAAACCATAAATTTAAAATCAACTCCTTTTAATTCAATATCTTAATCTTCCTTTGATTATCTTGCTAACTACAAAGTTGTAAACATATATAAATTAGGCCATGCATTCTCTCGTAAGGTTAACAACTGGTAGGATGATTGTTCAATGTATTTCAATTATATTCCAAAATTGTGACCAGAGAAAACTCCTTTGTCCAAGTATCATACAAGTTATTTCTCCATCATTAACATCACAACAAACTGGAGACCATGATTTCTATACTGCTATCATCTGTTCAATGGAAATAAGGGTGTAGCTGGTAAATGACCCAAGCCTTATCTTCATGGAAACTGTTATCATCTTCCCATGTTATTCCCGTACATATGGTTACCATATACCTACTATAGTCATTTAAAACTGTTAAACAATATGTGGAATAGAAGGACCATTTACCCTTAATATCTTCCTAGAGTCCTACTTGAAAACAGGATGAAATGTAAGAAGACACAAGAGAATCCTACTTATTACATTAGATACATATGATTAAGATTGATATTCTGTCATAAAGCACTTATCTTATAAATCAGTGGCAATATAATGCATACATCCTCTGAATCCAGAACTATACTTTTTAAGATTTTTGCCAGATTTGATTTTAAAAAAATGTTTTGAAAAAGTAAGCTGGCATTGTCATTTTATAATCAGTGTTTGGTCCCTATATGCAGAGTTCATGAAATTCTAAGTAGGTAGCTAGTACTTACAGTGTTACTCAATTCGTTTAAAAAAAAAAATCTAATCATTAAATTTTGAATGGCATGTTGGGTATTTAAACCAATGGCCCTCTTACCCCCTGTGATAAAGGAGCAAATTAAGGTAAAACTTACCTAGAACCAGTACCAGACGAGGTTCCCAGCGCTCCTCTCCATGATTTGTCTGACGTCACAGCCTCCCTCACGTGGTCCAATCAAATGCCTCAGTGTTTAACCACAATGGAACATACAAATAACAAAAAAAATGCCATGGAAGTGGGCACTCAGAGGACCTCTTTAGTTCAAATATATATAAAAAAAAGTTTAATAATGCATAGTTGGTGCTTTGGACCCAATCCTGGTCCTTTCCTAGAAAGGATTTTGGATATGGATATATGCATGAAATTGTCCCTGCTGTCTCCTTTACTACAGGTGTTGTACAGAGACAGGCAGTAACCCTTGTACTGAAATGCAAAGGAATATATATATATATATATATATATATATATATATACACACACACACACACACAGGAAAAACAGTCATCAATATTTAAATTTTAAAGGAACACAGGCTAATATGTGCATTTTTTTTAAAACATCAGATGTGTGAAAACTGAAAAAGAGTTTACTTAATACGATTTGAAAAAATTCTGTATAAATAATTTTTTTATTCCTACTTTTTATTTTTATTTTAAATTAAGAATGTATGCAACAATACAGACCATTATAAATCAATCTTATATAAGACGCTTAATAGGGTTATGACATACATGTAGGCTTGGTGTGTCATAGATCAGAGGTCGGTTTTACATACAGACCGGTGCAATACATTGGGTAACATGTCAAATAAGGCGAGCATTGGAAGCATGATCCCCATGGCAACTTTTTCTTCCTACTTTTTTTTTTCTCTGACAAGCTGCACTTGGCAGCTTTGTACAGTCTCATTATCAGCATGAAATACTTGAATCTCTATGAAAGTCATGAATGTCATACCGTCATTACAGTATTACTAGCATTTAAATAGCAACAACATTTTCTCCAGTACTTTTCAGTTATTCAATGTGTTATTTAACAGTAAGTAATTGACATACAAAAATATTTACAGGCCCCGTCTCTCCACAGACTTGGATTACAGATCCCATTCCCTGTGTATGTACGGGGCTAAAGCATAGTATGTACATTATAACTGGTGGCATTTCTAAGGAGGTAGGTTTCTAGTATAGAATGCTGCAAAACCTTTTTTTATTTTGCATACACAAAACTTATGTTTTTGTTTTGGTTTTTTTGCATAAATTATCCATATTTAAACATGCATATAAATAAAACATTGAGGTTAGAACCTATTAAATTCATTAAAGTTGTTTTAGTGCCCAGGGTCTTCCTTTAAACAAAGAGGGGATTTCAGTCTGCAAGTTATATAGTGTGTAACTGTTTTTGCCAGGCATATAAGATATTCGCGTTGAAAAGATTGAAAAAATCATGTGAGCGCTCAAGGTACAGTGAGTATTAGGTTATTCTTTGTCAGTAATAGTCTATTGCAGTATTTCTCAACCCAGTCTTCAAGTACCCCCTAACAGTCCAGAATTTAGGGATTACCCAGTTGTGTCTACGGTGTATTTAAAAAAAAACACTTTAGACACAGGGTAATCCCTAAATCCTGGACTGGTAGGAGGTACTTGAGGACTGGGTTGGGAAACCCTGGTCTATTGCATAACAAATTGAGTATCTAGTTCTCATTCTAAAATGAATACTAAATAATGTGGTTTACTATGGGAGAGGTAATCCCAATGAGAATACATTCGATTCACTTTAATACCATACACGAATGGTGTGGAACTAGGGGATCGTTTGAGCATATTTAGTGGGCTTGCGAAATATGTGTAGAGATTTCAGCCAGTTCGTTGTTTAAGTGAAAATCAGAGGAAGCAGATCAAATGCATGGAATAATAAAAAAGCAAGCATTCACTGTCATTAAGTTAAAAAGACACGAGAACTTTTAAAGTTTGCATGAAAACGTTTGTTTTCTAAGTAAGGTGCCATTTTCATGGCTGAAAGGCTAGCTGACATCAAGTGTTTTCTGCCTACTGGGTCAATTGATCTCATTTGGGAAGGTAAATGATTTTCATGACAATCACAGCACCGTTATTATTATTGCCATTTATATAGCACCAACAGATTCCGTAGCGCTTTACAATATTATGAGAGGGGGGGGTGTAACTATAAATAGGACAATTATTTTTTCCACTCCGCATTATGGACAGGAAGTCCTAATTGGTGATGTAAGTACCTATATTTACACAAAATACACTTGGAAACTGCACATTTTCTATATTGTTCCTTTAAATCTATTTTATAATAATCTGTTTTGAGCAAAGAAAAGAGTTACTTGCACACTATCCCAAATTGCTATGAACATTTAAATAAATGGAAAATGTAGTATCACTCCAGTGGCCATTAAAGTGTAAGTTCATCTGCCACGTCAAAGCAAACATCTTAGGTGAGTCCTACACTATCAATTTACCTTGCTTCTTTCAGCTTCAGGTAAAAAATCTCGGATAAAGAGGGGTATTTTCTGCTCTCAAACTCCCACTACTCCTGGACGGCAGCAATGTCTATAGTACACATCAGCCCCAATACATACAATTAAAAAAGGAGGTTTTTAGTATCACTCCAGTGTAGGGATAGTGTGCAAGTAACTATTTTCTTGGGTTTTTATTGTATGTATGGTGGCTGATGTGTATTCTAGTCATTGCCGCCGCCACCCAGGAGTAGTGGGAGTCTGAGCACAGGACTTGTTTTTGTATATTTGTATTTGCGTTTGTATTACACAGTCATGTTACAGTGCTACCGCCCACCCTATGTGTTTCCCCATTAAGGGTTAATAAGTATACAGGGGTTTAGAAAAATACCCCTCTCTGTCTCATTAGAGATTTTTAATTCTAAACTCTGTAAAACAGGATGCACCTTTAGTGACAACAAACTGACACTATAGTAATAAAATCACTCTTTAGTGCCTAGTCCCTTGCCTCCCTTTGAAAAGGTATTTAACTTTCCTTTTTTCCCAGCACTGTACCTGTCTCGTTGCGGCTGGCCTCGCCCTGCCCCTACTCCGTGGCAGAGAGCATCACATTTGATGATCTCAGCCAATCCAATGCTTTCCCATTGAAAAGTATTGGGAAGCTATTTCACATGCGCAACAAAATACAGCGCTGCACCAATCAGCATCTCCTCATAAGAATGCAATGAATCAATGCATCTCTATGGGGAACATTCAGCGCCTCTATGCAGAGTGTGGAGACGCTGAACACCAGTACATCACACTGTGCAGCACTAACCCAGGAAGCACGTCTAGTTACCGTCTGAGTGACTGCCACTAGATGTGTTCCTGGGCAGCAATGTAAACACTGCATTTTCTCCTAAAATGATTAAGTAGAATGTGTAGTTGAACCCCTCCCCGACCGGTGACGTACCAGGTACATCCGCCAAAAAACAGTCGGTAACGACCGCGGACATACCTGGTACGTCATTTAGTAGATCGGGGCTTTCCTGTGGTCTGCCTGGGAGCTGCCTGATCCGGCCCTCCTGGGCCAAGTGATCGCACGGTTCTCGTGATCATATGGCCGAAATAGCTGGCTTGTGCAGCGCCTGCCTGAGCTCTCAGGCAGTCCCCCTAATGCAAAAAAAGTTTTAAAAGTTAAATAAAAGTTTTTAAAACATAAATAAAAGTACTTAGATCATATATATTTATATTTCCTGGCCATATCCATGGCAGCACAACAATGGGTAGCTACTTCCTATCCCTAATTACACAAGAACCTAATTAAACTAGAAGTTAAAAGTAACCCCTCCTACACCTCCCATCCTCAGTCTTTTTGTCCCTGTCCTATCCCTAGGACAGACTTACTTTTACTTTTATGGCTTACCTGAGGATTGGTTCCACTGGCCCCTTGGGAGTTCAGCCTTTCTCCCTTGGGAAGTCACCAGTACACGGCCCTGTGCAAAGGTGACCCCCTGGAGAAACTGGGGGTTCTAACTTGCTGTGACCCAAAGGGTAGGTGACCCAAGGGGTAGCAAGATCATGCCATCACCATAATTCCTGCAGTGACCCAATGGGTAGCAGGCAGGGCCGGATTAACATAGGGACTGATGGAGCTGCAGCCCCAAGCCCATGGAATAGGCCCATTGATTTCAAGAAAACTTTATTTTTTTTCACACTACTCTTATTTTATCGTCACAGCCAGAATTTTTTGAGGCTGCCTGGCCGGTGCCGATATTGCAGTCATACTGGCAATACAAATGCTGGTATTTTCTCCGTATAAACAGAGATTATGATGCAATACCAGCACTGGCCACTAGGGGTCATTGTGTGTATAAAGAGGCAGGGATAGGAAGTTCCAGCATATCCCTCCCTGCTTATTTCTACTCACAGGGGAGCAGCTACAGAGAGTCCAGACAGCAACTCCCACTATGCAGAGACAGCTTACCGCTCAGGAAGTGCGGGATGGGGAAAGGCTGCAAGAAGACACTAAGGGACATTGGGAGACATTATGACAAACACTTGGGGACACTGGGAGACATGGGGACACAGAGACACATGGGTACACAGTATTCCCATGTCTCCCAGTGTCCCCATGTCTCCCAGCCAGTGTCCCTGGTGTCTCAGTGCCTCCTAGTCTCCCAGTGCCCCCTAGTCTCCCAGTGTCCCTATTTCTCCAAGTGTCTCAATGTCCCCATGTCTCCCAGCCAGTGTCCCTAGTGTATCTGACCCTGGTGTATGTGTCCCCATGTCTCCCAGTGCTCCCATGTCTTGATGTCCCACAGCCAATGTCTCTAGTGTCTGTGTCCCATGTCTTCAAGTGTCCCCTATTTTCCCTGTGTCCCCAGGACTCCCTGTGTCCCCAGGTCTCCCCATGTTCCTAGTGTACTAGTGACATGGGACCCCTGGGAGACAATGGGACAGACACATGGGAATACTTGGGGACATAGAGAGACATGGGGCATTGAGACACTCTGATACACAGGGTCAATGGGAGACTAGGGGACACTGGGAAACATGGGGCACTGAGACACTGAAACACAGGGACACTGACACCTGGGGTAATCGACACATGGGGACACCGGGAAACATGGGTACACTTGGAGACATGGGGACACTGGGAGCAATCCATCTATACAACAGAATCAAACCAAGTAGTTTTTTGGTGATTTTACAGGATTTTCTCTTATGTTACTCCTTGTGATTTACATCATGTGATGTCACCCATACATAATTAATTATGCAAATTCGTAAGACCAGTATGTTTTTTCAAGAAAGGTGGCAACCCTAACTACTTTTCACATACTCTTGCTTAAGTATAGAAACTTAAGAGGAATGTATGGTAACAAAACTTGTGTGGACTGGCTAACAATGAAATTAGTTAAGGTAATGCTGACTTTGGTCTCTCTTAACACTGTGGCATGTTCCCTTTCTTCTACACTCACTACATTTTCTCTGTCCCAGACTATATACTGCTAGTAAGACAGTAAGGAGGCAAGTGGACCAGAGAGTGCTAGGGGTCACTTCTTAGAAAGCGTTGAGTGAGCACATAATTAGATGCATTTATACCAAATTCAGTGTGCTGTCTGCATAGTATGTCCTTAGTTAGCCAACTTGCAAGATTGTCAGGCAGCCTGACATGCATTCATGCCAGGCTGGCCTTCCAATTCTTTGGGCAGACATGCCCTCTTTTTTTGGGCATGTTCGCCTCTTTTGGCAGGTTACGTGATGTGTGTCAGTGACACACCCATTTACCATGCCCATTGACTTCCTGCTTGACTGGACACTGCTGTTAGGGGTTATGGATTTACTTGAAAGATTAAAACATAAATTACGGAGAGATAAGCATAGGGTATGTGTTTTCTTATAGATGCTGTTTTCTTTCCCTCCAGCACCATCTCCATCAGATACATGACTCTTGGGAGTGTTGTAGTGTTTTTGGTCGATAAGATTCTGTAATTAGGCCCATCATAATTGTCAGCACCAGGCCCACTGGGCTGTTAATCTGGCCTTGGTAGCAGGCTAGGCATGCACATACAGAGTATATGGATTTACTTGCTGTGACCCTAGGGGTAGCAAGATTATGCCATCACCCTATTTCCTGCAGTTACCCGATGGTGTAGCAGGCTAAACATGCATATACAGAGCATATGAATTGCAAGGATTAATATGAAAGTGACCAACATTCCATCGCTGAAAGAGTTAATGTGAGACTGACTAGCATTCCATAAATGAAAGGGTTAAAGTACAATCCTGTACTTTCCCATGGATTTACGATTTACTTGCTGTGACCATAGGGGTAGCAAGATTATACCATCAGCCTATTTCCTGCAGTGACCAAGAGTAACAGGCTGTGCATGCACATTCAGAGCATATATATGGATATAACCCCTTCTACCCTTCATCAATTTCATCTTAATAGTAAGAGATTCCTGCTAACTTTAATTTCAATCAAACTTATTTTTTTTATGATTCTGTTATGCCTTTTAATATAGCCATTGGGTTCACCTATTCCTAGGCCTTTGTTATGCCTTTTAATAAAGCAGCTGGATTTTTTTATTCCTAGGCCTCTATTATGCCTTTTTTCTGTGTCTTTTAATTTAGCCACTGGATCCACTTATTCCTAGGCCTCTGTTATGCCTCCTAATATAGCAGCTAGGTTTTCTTATTCCTCGGCCTATATGACTTTTAATACAGCCACTGGTTTCACTTTTTCCTAGGCCTCGGTTGGGCCTTTTAATAAAATCATCAGAATGATTTATTTGGGTAACCAGAGAATATCTGACTTTACCTTTCTTGGTTAAACATCACTTATTCTCTTTGCTAGCCGCCACTTTTATTACAATATTCTATGCCTCTAAATTTGGTTTTAGGCATTAACGGCTATTTGCCGCTTTATTAACTTATTTCTATGCCTTTGTACTTGGCAATGGGCATTCTCAGCTATTCGCTGCTCTGTTTTTCTATCCCAGCCTTTCATTTTATTTCACGGCTCTTCGCCACTTTGTTTTCTGCTCTAGGGTTGGTTTTGCTGTGTTAAAATCCCTGAGAATGCAAAGGCGGGAATCGAATGATCGAAAGCACATTTGTTTTTCTTATATGTTTTTTTCCCCATATTTAAGTTATATTACATCTTTTTATGTATCTATCAATCTCTGCTCAAAATAGGAATTTTATGCAGTTATGGATTCAGATACCTCTGCTCCCAGAAAATAGGTCACACTCTAAGAGACATAAGTTAGCCATTCTAATTTTTTCTGCAGTTACCAAAAAAAAGAGTGCCTATTAATAACTGGAATTCTCTACTATGATCGCTCTATGGGAAGAAAATCATCTGGATCATACAAGGGAAGTCGCCCTAAAAGATCCTTTGTGAGGCATATGATAAGTGTACCTTGTAAAAGTAAAGTCTCTGTGCAGACTGTCTGAGAGTGAATACAGGCCAAGCTACCCCTATGCTGTATATTATGAAATATCAAACAGGAGGTATCGCAAGACATTATAGAAACTGTTAAAGCACAGGTCGTCTGGACAATTTCTATAATGTATACTTTGAGGAATCCTTGGATATGGATACATTCAGAGATATGGTATCATCTTCGGATGAGGATATTCAGCCTATTACAGTGCCTCCAGAATCTGCTCAAGCTGGCCAAATGATTTCCAGAGTCCATAGGTCCTTATATCTGAAAGAATCTTCTAAGGTCGATCCTTCTACCTCTAGCCTTTCTTTCAGATGTCAGAAAGAACAGAGCATCTTTTCAAGTTCCCAGTACCATTAAGATGTTTATTATGGAGGAATGGTTCTACACTGATGTTTTCAAACACAAGGGAGTATCTCGGGTCTTCATTCATTGGGATATCAGATGTGTGTACCTGGGACTCTGCTCCTAAGTGGACGATTAAGTTCTTAGACTGACTAAATGTTCAACTCTGTCTGTTCTACAATGTGCGATCTCTCTGAGACTCCATGGAGCATAGATTGTCTTGATCCGGTCTAATAACCTATGTCGCAGCTGGCACATGCTTTCATCCTGCTGCAAAAACTTTTACCTCAATCTAGAAGGATCCAAGATTGGTATGGATAGATAATCTTCCTTTTGTCTGTTGACATTACAAGTCATTAAGCCAGAAATAGTCTTCAGCTAAGAGGCTTCCATAAGTTGTGTTATAACAGAAATATGACTCTCTTTGTCTACTAGTCGGTCTCTTTGGTTCAGTACCTGGTCCGTGTATGCATCCTCCTAGATGAATGGATTATGAGAATAGCAGAGGAAAGTTTATCTACTGCAAGACCTAAGGTTCAGGAGACCATTTCGATCCAAAGCCTCTCACTACCTTTCTTCCAGGACTCAGGTATTTCACACCTGGAAGAGTGTATTGTAGATCTTAACCTTGAGAAGTGGTTATTATTTTACCAGAAGAAGAGATGAGATAATAAAAGAGACACATTGTAAATTTCAAAAGCCGCTAGAACACAAAGACTCTGTTCCTAACAGGCGGATGGAGATCCATTCTAGATCTACATAAGTTTACAGGATTCTTGATCATTCTTCATCATAAAGACAGCATTCCTATTGGATGATTTCTACAGATTTCCAGGATGCTTATTCCCATGTACCCATTGCCCCACATAACCATAAGTTTCTTAGATTGCAGTGGAACAACACTTTCATTTTTATATCTTCATGGTGAAAGATAAATGTCAGCTGAAATCACCTTGATCCCTCCCAGTCCAGGGTATAGCCGGGAACACGGTTTGACACAGTCCAAGACATGGTACAGCTCTTTTCAGAAAGTTCAGTACGACTTATCAAGTAAGGATGTTGACTGTCATAGTACCCCAGCAGAGGAAGTTTTGATCCAGGTCCTCCACCATAGATCTAAGTGGACAATGATGGCACAAGGGAAGATGGTTACTTTCCTATAGAAATTCCTTGGACAGAGAAAACTATCAATACCATCCACTGGGGTTGAGGAACTTTTCTCCAAAATTGAATATGTTCATGAAATGGACATTCTTAACATCCAATACTTCTCTTCTGCATAGGTTGCATCAACATCAACTTGGTTTTCACTTCTTTGTATCTTCTTCAGTACCTCAATGGGATCTCCCAAAAGAGTTCTTCCCTCTACCACCAGGTCTAGTGCTGCTCTCCTCTTTCAGAAGGTTTCGATATTGAAAGAAAGGCTTAAATACAAGGGTTTTTCAGGTGCAGCAATTAATACCCTTTTGAAGGCCAGGGAAAATGTATATCCTCGGCTACCTTTACTGAGTTAGGATGCCTTTTTTCCTGGTCTATTTCCAATTAGGTAAGCATTCAAATGTTCTAAGTTCTTCAATCCAGGACTCATCTAGGACTTATCCACATAACCTCAGCGGTGCATGTCTTGGCACTCCCTGATCTCTCTTTTCGTGAAGGGGCTTTGATATGGAGGTATCTAAATATCTGTCGGCTGTATTTATATGATCTCTCAGTTAACCATTGCCTCTGTGGACTTCTCACTCCTTTTAACCATGAGACTATCTCTCCACATCTGCTTAAAGGGACACTATAGTCACTAGAACAACTACAGCTTATTGAATTTTCTTCTGGTTAGTAGAATCATTACCTTCAGGCTTTTTGCTGTAAACACTGTCTTTTCAGAGAAAATGCAGTGTTTACATTACAGCCTAGTGATAACTTCACTGGCCACTCCTACAATGTCTGTTAGAGATCCTTTCTGGGTCATTGCTGCCTAAAATGCATCAAAACATTCAGTGTCTCCTCCCTCTGCATGCAGACACTGAACTTTCCTCATAGAGATTCATTGATTCAATTCATCTCTATGAGGAGATGCTGATTGGCCAGGGCTGTGTTTGAATTTTGCTGTCTCTGCCCCTGATCTACCTCTTTGTCAGTCTCAGCCAATCCTATGGGGAAGCATTGTGATTGGATCAGGCTACCACTTGATGTCAGCAGGCAGTGGGCAGGTCTAAAGGAAACAGGGACAAAGTAAGCAGCTTCAGACTTGAATACAAGTACGATTTTACTATATTTAGGGAGGCATGAGGGAACCAAGGTGGATGGATGGTGGTTTTAACCCTATAGGGTCAGGAATACATGTTTGTGTTCCTGACCCTATAGTGCTCCTTTAATATTAAGTTAGCTCTATCGCTGACATTAGCATTGGGCAGAAGGATATAAGATCTTCAAGCACTATTTGGCATGAAATCCTTTACTGTCTTTCACAATATAGAATAATCCTTTATCTGTTACTGAATTTAGTCATAAAGTAGCTTATTCTCTCCATATTAATGAAGAAATTATTTTTCCAGTTCTAAAAGCCTATTGACTGGAATGAAGACTCCGTAATTAAACGTTCTTCTCTTGTCCTAGATAGATGTCTTAAGATCTATTCTTGAAAAAAGCATTGAAAGTCATGTTTCAGTGTTTGCAGATGACACAAAACCCTGTAAAGTAATACAGGGAGTGCAGAATTATTAGGCAAGTTGTATTTTTGAGGATTAATTTTATTATTGAACAACAACCATGTTCTCAATGAACCCAAAAAACTCATTAATATCAAAGCTGAATATTTTTGGAAGTAGTTTTTAGTTTGTTTTTAGTTATAGCTATGTTAGGGGGATATCTGTGTGTGCAGGTGACTATTACTGTGCATAATTATTAGGCAACTTAACAAAAAACAAATATATACCCATTTCAATTATTTATTATTACCAGTGAAACCAATATAACATCTCAACATTCACAAATATACATTTCTGACATTCAAAAACAAAACAAAAACAAATCAGTGACCAATATAGCCACCTTTCTTTGCAAGGACACTCAAAAGCCTGCCATCCATGGATTCTGTCAGTGTTTTGATCTGTTCACCATCAACATTGCGTGCAGCAGCAACCACAGCCTCCCAGACACTGTTCAGAGAGGTGTACTGTTTTCCCTCCTTGTAAATCTCACATTTGATGATGGACCACAGGTTCTCAATGGGGTTCAGATCAGGTGAACAAGGAGGCCATGTCATTAGATTTTCTTCTTTTATACCCTTTCTTGCCAGCCACGCTGTGGAGTACTTGGACGCGTGTGATGGAGCATTGTCCTGCATGAAAATCATGTTTTTCTTGAAGGATGCAGACTTCTTCCTGTACCACTGCTTGAAGAAGGTGTCTTCCAGGAACTGGCAGTAGGACTGGGAGTTGAGCTTGACTCCATCCTCAACCCGAAAAGGCCCCACAAGCTCATCTTTGATGATACCAGCCCAAACCAGTACTCCACCTCCACCTTGCTGGCGTCTGAGTCGGACTGGAGCTCTCTGCCCTTTACCAATCCAGCCACGGGCCCATCCATCTGGCCCATCAAGACTCACTCTCATTTCATCAGTCCATAAAACCTTAGAAAAATCAGTCTTGAGATATTTCTTGGCCCAGTCT